CGGAGTATTTAGCTTTTGCTGAGTTATCTTTTACAGAGAGCCGGATCAAACTCGAAAGGTTTGGTAGATATACTTGTATTATGTTTATATGTGTAAACCTTACAGATTTTTTTATCATTATCTCTTCATTACGTACTTCTACCGGTTATGTTAATAGAATTATAAACAAAAAACAGGTACTTTGTTATTTACAGGTAGTGGTAGTCTATTTTTAATGTTATCTTATTTTGTTTTACTAAATGTTATCAAGTTATTACTTGGTGCGATTTTTTGAATATCGTAAGATATAAGAGCGTATTTTTGGATATATTTTTTATTTGACTATTACCCTTTCTGTGTAAACTCATATTGTATTCTAATACAAGCAAAGAGACCGATAAAATTGCAGTCTCCGTTAAAAATCCTTCATTACCTACATTTGATAATATTCAGATTTTCTCAATTGGCTTCTTATTTCTATGGATGGCAATAGTTCTGTAAACAATAACATTAATAATATCTGCTCGTTTACCTCTTCACAGCAAAAAAATAAACTATAATAGAATTGTATGAAAACTATTTTTAAATAGACGGTTATATATATATATATATGTCGCAGGATCAAGATGTGGCGCTATAATTTGATTACAACACCATCTATTGGTAGCTCTCGGAAACGTCAAGTAGTGCGCTTGAGTAAGGTCGATACAGGAAGTGATAGAGCGGACTTGACGGTTATGAATTGTGGAAGTCAATTGACATCGGACACGGGGGTTTGTTCTGGACGTGCTCGGGCACGCCACTTAGAAAAGGGACGGCGGTGCAAACGGTCATCTTCCTGTATCCAACTTGCTGCGTTTCCATTTAATTTCATAGGCGTGGTTAATATGTATTTTCGTTATTGTTGATTTTAATCGAACAAGTAAATTACAATGAGGGATCTGACAACGAGTTGTCCTATGTGATCCACCTATCTACGACATCAGAAGTGGGATTCGACTACCGTGTTTTAGTCCATACATCCTGATATGAAGCGTTTTAGCTGTTTAAACAATTGGTGAATTATTTTTTTCTTTGCGTGCCTACCGTCGTAAAATAAAAAGAGAAAATGGTCATAAATCTTTCGATTAAGTGTGACGACAGTTTTGGTGAGTACGTTCCAGTTATTTTTTTTATTATTAAACAGTAAGTAGAAGTTTATTAGCGAAAACATTTTGTATATCGTTTTATTCATTGTTTACAAAGGTATACAAAAACGTGGGTTAATGAATGGGTAACAAATGACTGTTGGAGAAACTTTAAAAAGGAGTTTGTGTCCTAGAAAACCTGACATAGCGAAAATTTTGGACGAAGAATATGAGTTGCAATTCGGATAAGTTCTTTACAGAGACTGACTATGCCCGTCGATTCCTTTTATAGATAGTTACGCGTCGTCAGTAGCTTAAGAGGCAATAGTTATACGGGGCATTACTGAACCGTAGAATGATTTTTGTTCTTTTTGAATATCTATACTCAGTGGTACCTGGACTCGTTTTTGTAATAATTTTTGCGTAGCCATAGTGAAAGATAGATTGAAAACAGTTTTTAAGATAAGCTTTGGTTTAGTGAGTAATTAAATAAAAGTGAATAAATGATTTCCCTTTTAGTGAATAAACAGAATAGATTTTGTTTTAATTATAACCGAGTTTGAGGTTCCTTCGTATAGTGAGTGCTGGTTAAGTCTCACTTGCGTGCCGGATTTATGCAAGGCAGTGTTTTGGAAAAAAGTAAAATACAAGTCACGGCAGGTTTTCTATTTTGGTACAGGACTCATGTAAAGAATTATGGAAGACGAATCTTGATACTTTGAAAGTTGACTCTAGGGTAACCATCTTGTTTTGCGAGCCACTGCTATTTAAACTAGCCCACATTTTTCCCTTTAATTTTCCACTTTTCTCTAGTAATCAATTATATACTAAAAAAAAACTCCTTTTTGCAACCAACTGGTTACTGTAAAAACAAGAAATGTAAATGTCAATTATTTCACACATATAAACATGTGAAAGATCTTTTGTCTCGACTATGTTTAAATAAATTAGTATATTTAATATACAATAGGTACATAATTTTAATCAACCTTTAAGTCAGCTCACCATTTCGTATTTGTACTAAGAAAAAAGTCATTAAAAAAACGTACTGAAATAAAACTCATTTTCTTTTCCTCTAATTCCGAAATAATTAAATTTTAAAGTCGTTAGCGCCCCGACACAAAATCTTTATTAAACGTCAGCTGAAGGGCTTTTTACTGATAATTTTTCTAAAAAAATTCTCAAACAAAACATTTTAAGGCATTATAAGAAAAAGGAAAATTTATTAAATCATTGTAAAGCCTTAAAGTAGATATGTATTTAAGACAGTAGTAATAAATTACCTTGCTAACTTATTTTTCACCGTATACATTTTTAATAGTTATTAAAGTAAATTTTTAGAATTATTTAATAATTGTCACTTACTACAAAGTAGTTTACTAAGGATCAAAGGGAGGCCAATAAGAGGGCTTAGTAGACAAAAAATCCACATCATCTTCCAATAGATGATTGCTTCTACCACAGTAGTGTATTTTTAAATTGAAATTGAAATGTCAGTTTATATAAGTTTGAAAATAATTTTAAATATGTTTATATTTTCCAAGAAAAACTATATCATAAAACGGTGATAAATGACTCGCCCGTCTGAGAGTCGTATGTTAACATCAGTGCTTTAAAACTGAAATTACTGCTACAGAACTTATCAATATTAATAATTTGTATTATATATTATGCATTAATAATACGTATTGTGCTTATTAAAATAAAAAAATAATTGAAAAGCAATATTTTCAATTCAAATACAAGAGCTAAAAAAATCATGATGGTATAAAAGATGTAGTACCTGGAGGAGCGAGCTTTTTTCTTTTTTTTGGTAAATCGTGTATTTTGGAAATTACATTTAAATACAAATTACTTTGTAATGAAATATGCATAATATTTTTCGATCTTACCGACGTAATAATAAGATAATATAAACTGGTGTTATTCACAAAAGAAAGAACTTTAAAAAAAGGCGAAAAAAGAACAAAATCATCTGGATCAACAAAAAATAAAAAATAAAGAAAGCAATGATCTGGAATCGAAAAAAAGTAAAAAAAAGTGTGTAAATGATCGCCACACGAACCACGGCCTTCTGTTTCGTGGCCGCCCGATTACCGACGGAGCTATTATAACATTTTTTATATTGACATTTTCTAAAAATAAAACCTAGCTAGTTCGATTTTTCGCCCCCGAATCTACGCACATACTAAATTTCATGAAAATCGCTGGAGCCGATTCCGAGATTCCTATTATATATATATATATATATATATATATATATATATATATATATATATATATATATATATATATACAAGAATTGCTCGTTTAAAGGATAAGATAAGAAGATAAATTTAAATTTTTTATCGGCAGTATATAATATGAAAGTGTAAGAAATAATTTTCCACAAGAACCAGATTAAATTATAATGGGCTTTTTTGGCTAGCCTCGACCCTTTATATTATGTTACAGAATACACATTTAATTGTAACCAAAATACACATTTAAATCTAAGCAATGGAAATTTAGTAGCAGAACCCTTCGGCGTTCCCTTTTTCGCGAATGTTAATTTACAATTAAAATCTGTATTTATGCAATGAAAGTTCAAAAAATTGTTTTGCTAGGTCTTCTTAATGGTGGTGACCTCACACATTTTTCTTGGACCTAGTCTTTGTTTTCAAATCTATCCATTCGCATTCGTTTGTTCACCTTAGTGCGTAATGCTAAGCAAGAGCCTATTTCAACCTAGGCTTGAAAAATCCACATTGTCATGGAATAGAAAATGGAAATATTTAAAATAACTTGTATCTCTGACATTGTAGCGTTTCACGGCTCTTATCAAACCATTAGTTTTTACCAAAGATTTCTCTGCTATTTTTCGTTTAAAGACTCTTGGGTAAAAATAAGATTCAGTAAAATTCACTTTATTCAAAATAAATTTCCATCCTAATGCAGTTATAAGATCATGTGGTTTAATCCCGGTTTTTTAATAATGATTCATGAACTAATCAGTCCATCTGATATCACTTGTTGCATTTTAACTGTATAATTATTATAAGGCTTGTAAGTCGAATAAGAAGAAATATTAAGAAACGTTAAGCAAGCGCGTACTTGTAAAGCCCAGGACAGCCTAAAGCAAAATTCAACCTTAACAAACGGTTTTGCTCGGCCCAGTGGGTTTCATTGTTGTCTAAACGCTTTGTTGCTTAGAACAATACGGAAATTTAATGGAAAAACAAACGAAACTGGGGACTGGGTTAAATATCTTTTTGCTTTAAGCACCTCATATATGATGGACATATTTAGTACCTTAAAAATATCAAAAGGCGTTATATAATATATATTATCAGACCAGAAAGATATAGAAATTTTATATTAATACTTTCCTTCAGTACTTGGAAACAAGACAGTTCTAATCTCAAGTTTTAAAAATTAGTTAAAATATATTAAATTATAATTCTATATTATTATTAATATATATTAGATAGGATAGAATTATATTTATAATATATATTACAAATATAATTCTATTCTATATATTTGAGATTGTTTGTCTCGTCTTATTTAAAGATCAACTAACAAAACTTTTATTCAACGATAACCAACCTTATTGATTCATCTTAAGTGCACACATTTACAAATATGCCCTATGCATATATAAAAATAATGAATTATCCAATATTAAAAATTACTAATTTTTCTTTCGACAATCCTGAAATATATTTTAGCATCAGAGGTGTTAGTTAATGTGTTATAAATCAAGGGAAGAAATGAAATATACCATATTTGAAAGGAGCTCAGCAGCCACACAGATTACGTCAATCAAAAGACACTGGCGATCGCGGGACCCGACTTTTCACTCGCTAAAACCATCCGTATTAGGGAACATAAGTATCACACAATCATGTCTGCATGACAGGCTGTTTAAGTAAGATTTCAAGCAAAGATCGAAAAAAAAAAATGCGAAAATGTTATGTAATCGGCACTCACGGCAGTAGGGCTCTTCTTGGTTCGGTTGGAGGAGAAGTGCTCAATGACCTCCCAGTTGGATTTCTTCGGCGCTGGTGTGTCTGCCGGTGAGGGGGAGGCGCGCGGGGCTGCTGAGGGCGTGCTGCGACCGGAGTCATCAGCGCGCGCCGAGGTGGCAGCCGAGCGCAACGAAGCGCAGCGGCGACCGCGGAGCGCCTCCTGTCCACCGAAATTGCGTTAGACGCGTGTGATTTTGCAACTGTGCGCCGTTGTCCAGCGAGTCCAGGTGATTCGCCTACCGATAGGACGACCGCAGGCTTATTTGCGAAATTGCCAAATGGCCCATGATAAAATGACAGCATCAATAACAAAAGACTTTTGATTTATACATTTTTCCTGCAGGGACTTACTACATGGTAAAATTCAATTCATAAATAAATGTATAAATCTTCCTCGAAAGTCTCTCCTTATCTGTGCCCCAAGGCCAAAAAACTTTTCTTTACACTTCAGTTACAAAAAAAAACCTAGGGGTTAATTATAGGTTACAACAATTTAGTTTACCGAATAGCCGATGTGGGTTTTTTTTTTAATTTTTTCATCATCAACCGTAAGAAGTTCACTGTTGAACAAAGGCCTTCCCCTTAGAACAGTACTAAATGCTATGCACACCTTTTTATTTCATAGATATCAGTAACGTTTATTGTAAATTAATTGAGCTATGTATATACATTTTAAATGTATATTCTGTGGTTCTACTTCAAATAAGTTAAAAGCGCCTTTTAAACACCTTTTAAGAGCCATATTATCCTTAAAAAATATTAATTAACTCTTCTCCTCAAAGGTGCCTCTTAGCTGAAGTTATCTTATCCTATATGATATTTTTTTTTAAATCAACTTTGGCTATAACAGAAATTATACTGTTTGCAACATCGTCATCGTAACCGAACAAGCAAGTATAAGTAACACGAATGAAACGACTTCTTTGAAAGTATTATATTAAATGTTTAATCTTTATTAGATAGTATAAAACAAAGTTGTACCTGCTGTTTGTACGCTTTGATCTTTTAAATTAAGCAACGGATTTTAATGTACTTTTCAGCAATAGATATAGGGCCGAATACTGAAACGTGACTTAAATATTTAAAGGCACCTTAAGCAGCTCTTAAACACTAAATTTGTCAAGTTAAGTTGTATCTAAACGCTACTCCGTGAAAATTTCGTATACTGAAACGCCACTCAATGTTCAATCTTAAGTGCAAAGATTTGCACTATAAAAAATTCTAAAAAGCAATGGCGATATATCTAGTTCGAATTATCGTTGTAAAACGATATTCTAAATTGTTTGTACGCTGCAAAGGAAATTACAATGGATGCGCCAAGCATTGCTTCAAATGCTAAAAAAACTATGTAGATAAAAGATATTAATATTTTCGTCGGTGTGGCAATCAGCCTTATAGCTTAATGGTTAAAGCGTCAGGCCGCGAATGCCGAAGACGTGGGTTCGACTCCCACAGTAGCGACAATGTTTTCGTACTTTTTCTACATATTTTAATGAAATTACCGTCTCTATGAATAGGTAGTAATACCGAGCATTGCTAATATGATTCTTTGTTTACAAGATGAACTCCAATCAGAAATATACGGAATCTTGTGTTGTACGGACAAAGAAACCTTCAACATCAACTTCTAATTTGACTGATATTACCCAAACAAAATCAAAAAGAAAGCAATGTCAAAAACCATGTTTTCAGACAAAATTAAGGAATGTTAATTTGAATTAAATTTAAATTTAATTTCTTGATAAATAAAAATTAACAAATATAGATTAGAAAGACTATGTAATATTATAATAGAGACAAGCCAAGAAACTCAACGATTTGTAAAATAATGTGACAATCTTACAAGATAGATCGAATGAATGAATAAATAATATTTATTGCACACAACATGGTAAGAAATTATATTAAAAATGACAATTACCACGGATCGCTAGATGTAACTAATAATGGTATAATTTAAAAAAGTTTTTTTTAACAAGAAAAGAATCGTCTTCAAAATACACTGTTACACTAAAAAGTTTAAAATAGGTAATACTTAATCCTAATATAATCAAATCTTGAAAATCTTGCCTTTGTAATGTTACCTACCTAATCTCTAACAAAATATGACAATTTTTGGAGTCCGCGCCTTTGTTCACCGTGGGTAATGGTTATCACTACATAGTATAAACAAAGTCGTCCCGCTGTCTATCTGTCCCTATGTATGCTTAGATCTTTAAAACTATGCAACGGATTCAAGAGGAAGGTTTATATGTATAATAAATACATTTCACCCGTGCGAAGCCGGGGCGGGTCGCTGGTATATAGATATAGTGCATAATTAATAAATATTATAGTATATAATAAATAAATAAATAGGACCCAACCAGACGCCAGCCCCCACCAGGGGAGACTAAACGGCCGAATGTTAGGGCGAAAGGAAGAGACACTGGCGGTCTATACGGGAGGTATCGAGGAGCACCGCCTTTTGCGTTTGAGCTTGGAGCGGTTCGCCCAGAGTCCCCATCGCCTTAGATGTTCAGAGAGGCTGACTCAGCTCAAGCCATTCGCAGAAACGAAACGTCCAGATATTTCATCTTTTTATCTGTTTCGGCATTCATGAGGTTCTCCTCATATGGTATGGTAATGTCGCGACTGTACCCAGTCCATCATCACGATACCAGGTATTGTGTGTATATTATTATTGTTGTTATAATCAACGCATGAACTAAATTACTAGGCCTAGAGACTTGTTTTATACAGACATTTCTGTTTTCACGAGCATTAAAAAAGGACTTGTCTAAATTCATCACCTAAATGTCTTAAGTAGGGAGCGAAATTTTGTGTGGAGAAATATTTTTCCTTCAGCAGAGTTACTTGAAAACTAACAAACACTTTTCAGTACAAATAAATCATTTAATATAAGTTTCAGGATTTTTGAAAATCGATGGTCTAAAGGACTAAAGAAGGCGTTGAAAGTCTGTATGGAGACATATTTTTCTTTCAGCAGAATTACTTGAATTACAGAAACTCACGCATGTTTTTCTGGCTATAGATAATTAGTACTGCCCATGTGAAACCAGAGTGGAACGCTAGTCTTATTGTATAAATCGTTTATTTTAAAAATTACATTTTTAGCCCGTTCAGAAACAAAATGTTATAGCCCGATCCGTGTTACTTTTATACATAATTTGTTTGGAGATATCACGGAGAAATGTTGCTGAATGAAATATTTATTCTCATTCAAATGCTATTATTACGGTAATTTATATATATATATAGAATATTCAGTTTAAATTTCATTTAAAGGGTTACTAGGTGGCATGAATGAGATGTGAAGAATTAAATGAATGATAAAATCTCCTGGTTGTGGAAATCAAAATAGATAATACAACCTTGTCGATGGTTTACATCTTTCAGCATTATCACTGCGACACGCTCTGCCTTCCTTCCACCGACAAAATCATACTCTATTGTTACAACACTGACTGGCCTTTTTTGTACAACCATATTTAAAAGCTGCATCGTATTGATTATTGTTTCCGCTTCTCATCTCAAAGAGTTCGAAACGACGCTTTTATCATGACTACCTTTAAAGTAGTTTTCTCTTATAATATTTTCTAGCCACGCCGCTTTCTTTTTGATGTTTTTCTTCGGTAGTAATTAATCACTTAAACATATTACTTTAAATATTTATTATTATGTTAGTGATATTGAATAGTTCATATAAATAAGTGATTTCAGATTATAAACAAAACACTATTGTTTATAAAGGAGGCAAATCGACAAGCTGGTCACCTAATGGACACTTGCAACATAAGAGGAGTCAAATATGCGTTTCCGACCTTTGGGGTTGGAGAAAGCTCTCTTCATGAAGGTCCCTAAGACATATCGGTCCAGAAATGCCGCTGGTGACAAATGGTTCCACAAAGTAGCTGTGCGGGACAGATATTTGCGTGAATTACGAACAGTTATGGAACACAACCATCAAGGTGGTATATCAAATGTCGATGGTAATTGGCGGAATGACATGTGCGATCTTATATCTCTTTGCAAAAGAGTCGATGCAATCGGACAGGGCCTGGTCGTTGACAATTATAGCAGTTCTTCGTTGGAATCTGAATCTGTGCTTTGTAAGCGATAGGCCGGCAGAAAATACAGTCTCCTTCTATTTAGGCCACCAAGCTTTTTAGTAGTTAGCTTGGCTTTTTCTTCCAAATGACCGCGAAGTTGTACGCTGCTCGATATTTCAACTCCCAGAATTCCGATGTAATCTGTGGCAACAAGAGTGCTATTGAAATAAGAAAATACGATAAAGGGCCTCTTCGCGGTAAAAGTGCAAACATGTGACTTCGTGGCGTTGAATTGGACTAGATTTAGTCCGCCACGATCCGAGAATTTGATAAAAAAACATCGACTTCAGACACATTCCAACATCCGTCAACGTTTTCGTGAGAGTTATTTTCTCGTCTGATATATAAGGCGTCATCTGTAGTATAATCCGCAATGTAAAAAATATCATAAGCGCAATATATAAAAAATAATATAAAAAACACCTCAAATATTATTACAGGTAAAAACTAAATTATTTCAATAAATCTTAAAATCCAAAAACATGTTGGTAAGAAAAATATTGTCACCGTGAAGACTTTATCCCATGAAAACTATTAACTATGAATTTTTGAAAATTAAATTATTAACTTATTTCGCTTCATTTAGTTTCTGTCCCATTATTTTTAAATAATTTTATTGAACTGCCATATATGTCTTTTTTTATGAGAAAAGTTGTCAAGAGAGCAGACTGTTCCTGATGTTAAAAATCAACTAATACTCGATGGCTGCCTGATGCGCTTACCTTACTTATTAGACGAAAAGCGAAATTTCAATAACACCATTCTCTATGAGGCCGCACTTAACCGGAAGAGACTGCCCATTTGTACTAGAGCAGAAGGAGTTATGTGGCCCAACCACAGTAATGGTATATTTACTTCTTTCCAAATAATTCAGGCTGATGATAATAACACTGGATTGTGCATTTAGATAATATTTTAAGCAATAGTTTTTTTCCGCCCACCTACCTGTAGTACAGAGTTGAGTCTTGCTCACATAAAATGATGGATCAAAGGCCATCCATCAACGTCATTTAAATTAAGACATTTTCCCTGGAGGTAAGACGATATCAATATTGAAAATACATTAAACATAAGAGAGAGCAACTAGGGTTGTGTATAAGATTGACTATACCAAATTGTTATATAAAAGGACTGAGAATTTCCCATAAAATAAATTTCGTTAAGCCTCAGTTTTTTTTAATTTTGGGACATTTGTTATATATGTCATTTTAGTCCTATTGTTTCACACAGATAAAGTTCAAAATGACTTAAACCTGAATACACAGTAGGTACCAGCTACTTATTAGTGGAATCGGAAACAGATTTTGATATAAAATCCGTAGAAATTGGCCAAGTTTTTTTTTTCTTTTTTAATTCAAAAACTGGCTAGCACTTAACTGCCGTCCCACCTGATGGTAAGTGGCGAAGTTCATAATAATAATAATAATAAATAATAATAAAATATCTTTATTCACATAGACGCTTGCGCGTTCTTATGAAACGTCAAAATTTTACAAGAAATTAACACGTTCGTAAGTTACCACCGGTTCGGAAAGCAGTTTCTGTTGAGAAGAAACCGGCAAGAAACTCAACAGTTGCTCTTTTTAAAAAAATCAGTTTACAATATAATAGTACAGGTACAATAGTCTTGTTTTAGCCTACGTGAGTATCAACAGTATTAACCCCACACATCGTCAAGATATCGGCAATAGTACGAAGCCATAAGTGTACTTTTAATTTTTCGGTAAATAACACTTAATATCGACTGTGGGATTTATTATACACTTCACGCCGGTCTTCTGTTTACTTTTTGTAGGCGAAATAATGGCTTACTTACTATTTCTAGTACCGTTTACGGTCACCTTTTGCCCAGTATTTTTTTATGGGTGCAAGAGCCACCTGATGCTGTGATAATCGCCGCCCACGGACATTTGCAAGACCCGTAAGGTCGCAGATGCGTTACCACCTTTTAATAAAGTGGGCCCGGGCTACGCTACCTCACTCACCAGACGAACCGCAGCGGTATAACACTTCCACTTCACGCCGGTCTTCTGTCAGGTGGTACTTACTACTACTACCGGACGGACCTGCCCATTCGTGCAAGAGCCGATGCTGTTGCGTGAAGTTTAGATTTCATTTGCGAAGTATTTTTAGATAAAATTTAGAAAAAGTAAAAAATAGTCATGTTGTGATCGTCACACAATACGTAAATCAAAAGGTCCTTTTCTTGATAAATTTAAAAGCCGCACCGACCGTTCTTCAAGATCAGCCATGGTGTACAGGCGCAGAACAAGATAAAAGTTCGGAATCGATTATAAAATTACTTTACTTCACAAATAATAACTCAAGTTACACTTAATCCAAAAATTAATCCACTACAATTAAAACAGTCACTTCTGTTTGAGCCCACTTCTGAACATAGGCTTCCCCCATAGACTGCCACGAAGTACGATCCTGACCCACCTGCATCTATTAACTTCCCGTACATTTGCACAGGTCATCTATGTACAGTTCATGTAATGTTCGTTCTACTCTACGATACCTCGTACTGGGCACGAGGCTGCCACTCGAGAACCTTTATTCCCCAATGGTCGGTATCGGTTCTGTTTATAATATTACGTTTTATTTTGTTTAAGGCTTGGCACCGACTTCAAACCTATATAAAAGGTAGCTCATACAAATAATGGTATTTAATTAATGTTAAAGCTATTAGGTTTGCATAAGAGGTGTATTAAATGAAATCATTATTAAGTTATTTTTGACTTTTTAGTTTTTGAAGTCTGTGTTTTTAATAGTACCTACTTTTTTTAGGCCTACATATCCCAAGAAACGGTAACGCAAAAAGGAATCAACTCTGGCCAGCCCTTCGCCGTGACCAACAAGAATCAGGAGAACTGCCCGAAGCTGTGTTGATTAAATTTGATGACGAGATCAGGTAGGCACAAGCTTAAAAGATACTTAGTGGGAGGGCTTAGTGTCAATCGCACCAACATCTGCAACTTTTCAGGCCAATAAAGGTTACGGTGATGTGAAAAGATTAATGCTGCCACTAATGTTAAGTTGGGCTGTCACCATTCACGAGCACCAAGGTACGCCATTGGAGAGCGCGGCGATGGACCTCGGCTTTAAGTCGAGCGAAGAATTTAGATGGCGAGGCATTAAATGACTCGGAATCATCTAAATTACTACACAGACGATGTGAGATATGATGACAAAACACTACAGTAAATGCAACGGTTAAGACACTTAAATCTAGATTATTAGTATTTTAATTATTTTTAAAATTTATTTTTATTTATTTTTAAGAACCGAGATTTTATACAATCGTATTGGTTATAAAATTTCTCTGTTTCTCTACTCCGCACGCTCACTCCGCTCCAATGACACTTAGCCTAAGACCACTTATCAGGACACGGGTTAATAGTAATATATAATCAAAATTCCTAAAAAAAAAAAACTGATCCGGAACAATTTTATCTAAGGGCTACACCAATACCTGTCCCGTGTGGACCCAGGAATTCAACCCTGAACCGCCACCGACGAGCCATGAGCAATAAAATATTCTTTATTCATTGTCTCCCGAAAACGTACACAAACTAAAAGAACATCGTCCACATAAACAAAAATGTTCATAAAATGAAAACTACTAGGCTAAACTATATCAATAAGTTACGGGACCAAATGGCAATTATTCCGAGTCTAACTAAAGAAGAATCACGTAAATCGTATCATAAATCTCAGCGTAATCAGTGTATATACAAAAAAAAATGTACCAATCGAATTAAGAACCTCCTCCTTTTTGAAGTCGGCTAAAAATACTTTACTTATTGTTAAAGAAGTTACATAACTAAACTATATTCATTAAATATTAATTATTTAACTAAAATATTCATAAAAAACAATTAAAATTTTTGTATGATAATTTCAGTTCACAATATTTACTGATTATTTTATTAATTAACCCAAGTTGAGCATGTGACGTTCCATTTCAGTCGGTGATGGACTTATTTAAACGGACTAACTGTCCTATAAAAACTCTCATTAACAACTTCGAACACATATTACATGGTATTTTATTAAATATAAAGGAAAAGTAATGTAATAATATTATTTAAAGCTAGGGATTATGGGAATGGAGTAAAAGACCATTGCTATAATATTCCCTTTGTTGACAAATCAAAGGTGTGTGTCGGCCCACTTCATGTCTCATAAATCCTTCACTTTCTCTCCTATAGGGGCACCGGCCCTATGTTTACGTACCAAGCCTCCACTACAAGTGGACACGTCTACAGGTGCGACAACTTTCTCGTTGTCACACCAATCCTCCGCGTACATTCTTCACCTCTTCTCACAATAACTTTTCACTTTACTTTTCATTACTATTATAGCTAATACTAATGTGCTGGAATGAGGGGCTCCGACAATCGGAGCAATCGACTACAAATCAACTTCACTGAGAAGATTTTTATCGAGTATTGTTAAAAGCTTGCCATTCCATGATCTAACTTACAATTAAAATTCTAAAGCTGACTGCTACGATGATATTTGACATACAAATACAGACCTAGACTCTATAATATAGTTGCTCGCAGACGAATTGCATTAACATATACAATACTGTTGGGAAAGAAAGGTTCTCGAGTGGCAGCCTCGTACTGGCCATCGCAGTGTGGGACGACCCCCCACTAGATGGAGTGACGACCTGTGCAAATGTGCGGGTAGTCGATGGATGTAGGTGGCTCAGGATCGTACTTCGTGGCAGTCTATGGGGGAGGCCTATTGTTCAGCAGTGGACTCAAACAGGCTGAAATGATGATGATGATACAATACTTTAAGAAAAAAAGAAAAACCCTCAAAAATTTAATTTGTAGTAAAATTTCCGTCCATTTATAAAGAAGGTAACGATTAAGTCTTTTTCATAAAAGAAACAATATTGCTCACGTAATAAATTACGTAATTTCTGAGGCTTTCAAAGCTTTGAGTCATATCATAGCGGTTGAGCCAAATCAGTGCCACTAAGATTTTTGTTGAAAAGGTCCAATCAAACTTCATTATAATTATATTTATCATTTTAATTTAAAGACACCTATCTAGAACATAATATTCTTTTCTTGTTCAGCGTTTATAAACGAATGTAATTTGATTGGAATACTTTAACAATAGCCAGGAAATGTGAAAGTGAATAAAGAAAGCATTTTAGAAATAGTAATATAATATACTATAGAATAGAATAATATATAGAAATAGTCAAATAAATTGGAATTTACCCCATATTAAAAAGTTTAAACTAGAAACGTTTTTCTCAACTATCACTAAAGTAACGAGGGATGTATTAAATATAAATAATATTAATTAGTTATTAATGAAAGAAGAACATAAAATAATATTAAAATAAATCATTTATGCAGATGTATATTTTCGGGTACTATTTTTTATTCAATTTATACAATTATATTAAAATATCTATCCTCAAAAACCTGTACAGCTTCATTATCATCTTCGTTATAAAAATTTCATCAGTGTTCAACATTGAAAGTTATTTAAACAGTGCTAACAAGCTAAATTTGTCTAGTTTCGTCGTATATGTTAGTTAGCAACTGTTAAGTTTGTTTGTACACATTGTATATTGTTCACATATGTATGTTCCTTTCAGACCCAGTATCTTGAATAACAAAGCTCTTGAGTACGAACACCACCTTGACCTGACATTTGCCATTTAAATAAGCGCATCTAAATTCAACCACCAGCTCGATCGCAGACGGCTGGAATTATCATAAAAAGGGCAATCATTTCCTTAAATCGTTGTATTACCTTACTCGTCATAAATTCGTATGTCCTGAAGTGCAAACTACACGCGCAACGGTTAAATATTTAAAACATCTGTCTGGTTGTTTAGTTGGGTAAATCTTAATTTATTAAGTGTTATTAATTATATTACATTTCAAGTTTTTCTTTTATTATCTTATGTCATAGCGTATAGTATGTTTTATAACCAACAGATCTTTTTTTTTGTAATCGAAAGCCAATTTTACCAAGAGCTTTTATTTTTATATTTAGTAGAACTTTACTTAAATATTTGATACATAATGAGTAATGAGTATTCCAAACATTGAAAATAAAAAAAGGAAGGATAAATCATCGTATCACTTGTATTGTGATTTGAATGTCTCTCAGAAATGTTTGACTCTCGATATGCCATAAATCAGTTGGCATATGGACTAATGTCTCTTGATTTGTTCGTTTACTGATTGATAAATTAAGGTCGCACCGAATTAGTGAAGTTTGAAACACAAGATAGTATTGTTGATTAACATAGGTAACATTTCGGGCAGTTTAGAAGCTGGAAGGGCAAATATTTTTTATCTTAATCATCCATTAATAAGTCGTACACTAAAAACAAGGTTTATTAAAACGCTATTTATTATAGAGGAGATTTAAAGTATCAAAAGAACTTGGAGGGAAAGAAAATGTGGCGTCCAATTAAATGAAATTAAGTAACAAACAGTGCGTTCAAAGCGTCAATTTTGCTGGTTTGTAATAAAACTGGCTAACATAAAGTTTCATCAAAGGAGTGGAAGGACCAATTTAAGAGTCCCTAAAGTAACATTAGGTTCATCCTCTTGCTACGTAAAAATCTTTATTTTACGATTGTGTATTTTATACAAAAACGAGATAAACGATACTCGTAATGCTGGCACTCAAGATCGAATAAGAGTATTACACTAATTTGATTATTATTTATAATCATTCACATTTTTGACGTTAGTTTTGTATTTATCGATATAACAAAAAACATAGTTAGTTTTTACTTTGGGTATAATGAGCCGTGATAGCTTATTGTCCAGGCGTTCGCTTTTAATTTAATATACACGAGCAACCTCAGATCGATCCCTGATGCGCGAACCATTGAAATTGTTAATTTTAAGTGATGACTTATTACGTGCTCAGCGGTGAAGGAAACTTCGTGAAGAAATATGCAGTTATTGTTATTATTTTTTTATTATTTATATCGAAATAATGACATAATAGGCTTGAACCATAACTTGACTTTTAATTTTACGTTTAAATTTATCAAGCGGCAGGCTTAATATCGACTGTGGGGTTTTATTCTAAACTAAATTTGTAGACATTTTTTTTTGTTTGAAAAAAAAAAAAAAAAAAAAACATTGCCCTTACTTTGGGATAATATTATCCTGTGTTGTAAGAACGTTTTTACAAACATAAGTTTCACACGGACAAACACCCAGATGCGGAACAACTATCTGTGGGTCACACAAATAGTTGTCCCGTGTGGGAATCGAACCCACGATCCCCGACATCGAAGCCGATACCTTGGCGGACCACGGAGTCATCGAGACATAAATTTCTACTATCGACATTATATCTACTTTACAACTTTTACTTTTCTATCCGTACCCGCAAATCGGTATTATGTTTTCTTTGTAACATATTTAATAATAACTAGCTATAAGTACACACCCGCGTGCACAATAAGATCGGCACAAGGACGCACTAGGGTCACACAAAAGACCGCAAGGGCATCCTCCACCTCGACCGACGATGCTGCAGCAAGCTCCTCCTCGCAATAGGAAATGGAGCTAGACTCGCCCCTCTCTCCCGATGCCGATGAAGGAGGTTTGTTCACCGAAGTGGTGAACAAAAAGAAGCGTAAGAAGCGCACCTCTCAGCCATCATCAACGGCCACGTCCCTCGTACCGCCAGTTAAGGCGTCAAGGCCGACCTAATCGGCCGTAGCCGGGCCCTCAGGGCCCACCCAACCGGCCCCATCGCCTTCAGCGATCCCAACCCCATCGCCTTCAGCGATCCCAACCCCGGTTGCTATTCAAGCAGCCCCCGCGGTCCCCCGTGCGCTGCAAGACAAGCGGCCACCACCAATTTTCATCCAGGACACTTCCAAGTGGCCAATGATAGAATCCGCCCTATCCAATAGGGTTCAATTCAGCGCCACTACCACCAACCAGGGCATCAAGCTACAGCTTGAGACAGCCGACGCCCATAGGCAGGTATCCAAATTCCTGCGAGACAAAGAGGTGTTTTACCACACCTACACGCTCGCAGAAGACAGGATACTCCGTGTTGTCATCAAGCGTATCCCAAGCAATATCTCCACCGACAGAGTGCTCGAATCACTCAAAAATCAAAACCTCCCCGTGCTTGCAGTCCATCGTATGACTAGCAGGCGCATGAAAACCCCCATAGATCTAGTCATGGTACACCTTGACCTAACCCCCGAAGGGAAGTCAATATTTAACATCAAATCAGTGTTAGGACTCGACAACATCGTTGTCGAACCACCGCACAAAGGCGTGCTCCCAGGGCAATGCCACAAGTGCCAAAAATACGGACACGCAGCCCGCAATTGCTTCGCCAGATTCGCAAATTGGTGCGTCAAGTGCCTAGGAGACCACGGCACCCCAGACTGCCCCCGGCCTAAAGATAAGGCACTCTTAGCTAGCTACGGGCCTCCCGCTTGCATGTTGTGCCAAAAAGAAGGCCACACAGCCAACTACCTCGGCTGTCCCAACGCGCCTAAGCGCAGGCCAACCAAACCGGCCCCTCAGGCCATCAGAAGACCACCCATACCGACGGCTGCCTCCTTCCCACCTCTACGCCCCGCGTGGCAGAACCCTATGGCCCTCGCTTGGGCTAAACCTAACCCGCCTATCATGGCACCCAAATTAGCCGCACTGCCGGCTCCAATTCCAGACCCAGTCCCACCAACACCAGCGACCGGAAGTAACCCCCTGGACTCGCTGAGCCAACTCCTCCGAACCGTCAACATGGCGGAGGTTATGTATTTTGCCCAGCAATACACTGAAGGCAACTTCTCATCAAGACTCCTACTCCTTAACCAATACCAGCACATAGTTGCTGCGTTATCTGTCTAGGGACCCAAAATGGATAGTACACCCCTAAATAATAATAATAATAACACCACCAGTCTCTCTGCTACGCGTAATAATGGCAGAGTCAAACCGCGATCGATTAATGTAGCATTCTACAACGCGAACGGGCTTAAAGAGCAACGCGACGAAATACGTATTTTCTTACGCGACCACCAAATCGATATACTTCTCATTCAGGAGACGTTCCTGAAACCCGCGACAAGGGATCCGAACATCCCCAATTATCGAATAGTTAGGAACGATCGCGTCGGCGCCCCGGGCGGCGGCACACTTATTTACTATAAAAAATCTCTCCATTGCGTACCGGTAGACACGCCCGCGCTCACGCATCTCGAGGCCTCCGTCTGTCAGCTGGCTTTAACCGGCCACTCTCCCATCACCATAGCATCAGTTTACCTCCCTTGTAGA